CGCATGATCGCCTACGCGCGGCCTTGCACCGTAGCCGCCGCCAGAATTAGACAAAAGAACGGAACTCCGGCTTGTTTGAAAGAATCGCACCCTGATGCTTAACGGCACGAGACCTCGTTTCACATGATGAGCGACCTATACGCGATTCTCTATCCCCCTCCTCCCCCTCTCTCCGTATTGCCCGTGTATACAGCCTCCCTGCGGTAGATGCGCGCCGATGTGCACGGCCGATTGCGATGCAACACGTGTTGTCATGGTTTCACATAGGATTACTTGACATGTATCTGGGTAACACAAAGTGTCCCAGATTCAGCGGATCTTTCATCGGTGGATTCTTTGAACGAAATCGAATTTGAGTTTCCCCCGACGTCAATTAAATGTTAAATTTAATTCGCTTTCTTCGTTTATATATTTATATACTTAAATTTCTATAATTAGAAATAAAAATATTTGTATAGACACTTCTCTTATTTTAGAAAATATTAAGATGTTATAATCGTACGATTATACAAATATTGTTATTCTAGAGTTTCATCCATTTTTCATCATCATATTGAGTCTAATAATACCGATCATTGGTTCAATATTCGATATATTAATGAACGTATATCGGGAAAGGCTATCATTTATCATAAGTTTGCCTTTTTCTTTTCTTCATAGCTAGAGAAAGTCTAGGATTTCTTGTATAAACACTGCAGTACAACTTTGCAGTTCTGTTCCGGTTCGTGAACACGTATATCTTATCAAGATCACACACGTGGCTTAGATAATAATTAATATAATATTTAATTATATGCTGTAACATATGTTATTAATAGGCCAGTTATAGCAACGCTTCAACTTTGGAGGAGAAACGCCTTCCTCTCTATTTAATTTATTCATTACGGTATCAAAATAAAATTCTTACATTCTTAAAATTTTTGTTATAGATATAACTATTTTGACTCTATCTAGTCTGTTGACATTTTAATTTTTACATTTAGTTTTTACACATTTTTCTATGATAACGTTGCATATTTACATCAGCACACATGCCGTTGCATAATTGCTGTCTCATTCAGTTCACTCCGAAATATATTTGTCTGGATCCAGACCGATGTCCATCACGAAAACAGCTCATCGCGTATGGCCGAAATAATTTATTCGATCCATATTCATCGTTACTCGACTTCGTTGCTTTTAAACTCCAGACGAATGAAAAATGAAAGCACGAGAGTGTGAAATAAGCAGTGATCCAAACGACACAAAATCCAAAATACGACGTTTTCGCAGAGACGTTCTCAGGAATTCGATTTTAGTTTGACTCGTGCTTATTTCAATATAATATAATTTCTATAAATCAAAAGTCCAAAGTACCAAATAATTTAAATTAGAAGTCCAAAATACGGAACATATGACGTTTTCGCAGAGACATCCGCAGCTCGATTTAATTTCAATTTAATTCAAATTCGGTTTTAATTACGCTCGTATACTCACCTCAAATGACTTAAATTGAAATTTGAAATTTTTTAAATTTTCAAGCTTAGTGAAATCTATCTTAACAAATCAAACATAAACAATTTTAAACATACACAAATAATATTTCCCTTTTACACACAATCAGAAACTTCAACAATACTACATTTCAAATGTAGAATTGAAAATTCATCCGAGGTCAATATGTGATCCCAATATGAATTTCCTTAAGACGTCTTACGATTTTACATTGTTTCCGATTTTACATTGTTTGAAGAACAATGTGATCTAGAAATAGTATTTATTCAAATCACAGATAATGTTTTTCTTTTATCAGAAGCTTCAACAATACAACATTTTCGAATGTAGAATTGAAAATTTATCCGAGATCAATATGATCCGACATTTCCTTAAGGCGTCTTATGTCCCGATTTTATGTCGTCTGGAGAACAAATGTGATTTAGAAATAGTGTTCGCCATAATTGCGCAGCTCGCGCGCGCGATAAATGCACATATCGTCTGCCGTGACCCGAAGCTCGCGTCGCAACATTAAAGTCCGATTGAAATCATTAACGCATTTAGCCTTTTAGTCTAAATTAACCTTTGCGACTATGTATGGATATTATCGCGCAGTAGAACGTTAACCTTGACGACAATAGATTACGATCCGGCTACACCCCACATGCCTCCGCACTGAATGAAACTGTTGGTTTCGAGGCCGTCGTCGTCGTTGCCGCCGCCGGCGGCTCACTACTAAACGATACGAAACCGCTACAGACGTAATACGTTTTTTTTTTTTATTATTGCATATGTAATAATCTACGATAAATTATTTCTCGCTTTCCTGAGTGTTTCCATTCCGAGCTCATTTGAACGTTGTCTATCTTTCAATCAGTCATCAGTCGATGTAGGATGTTGAAGACGACATCTTCGTTCCTTCTTACAAATACTAGATAAAGAAGGTTGAGCTGACAAAGCGATAAATCTTTATTGCTTTAAAATAAACATTTACGATACACATTTACACTGCAAAAAAGTCAAGGACATGCGAAATTATGATTTAGCAATAGCTAAAAGCGGCGGACAAGATCAAAAGTCATTTCCGCAGATCACTCGATAAGGCGAGGATTTCGCAAAGAAAACGCTTAAAAATTGCGAACATAGTGCAGTTCGTAGCACAGTTCATCCTCCTGCAACGCGTGAAATGACGAGATGTAATTTTAAACCTCGAAGATTGCATTTATCGCTGAATTTCCGTGTTGATATCATCACCGATGTGGCATCAATGAAAAACTTAATTACCCTTTTATTCATATTGTGACGATCCCCCGCTCACACACAACCTACCTAGCAAAGCATCTACGAAAAGAATCATGGCCTCCATAGCGAAAACCTGCCTCGGACAACCTGCCTGAGGACTTAGGTTCTCGAATCTCACTGCGGCCGACATCTTTTTTCGCCATTAAACTCAGCACATCGTGGAGAACGCTTCTCACCAACGCCACAATATCTTTTGTGTTACTAAATTCCTGTGTTAGTCATCATAAAATGATGTATGTCAATGAAGATTCAATTTGAAATTTAATTATATCTTTTTACATATCAGAAATGAATATCAAATTATGCCGAATTATCAATATGTACGTTAATCTATATTTTAATTCCAAGGCAAAAATAGTTTGGAACGTAAATTATGACGCATGTAATAAATCTAAAAGGATATTTCTTTCAGAAACAGTTGTATTACGTCTTACACGCACGTGTCTTTAAGCAAATAAGATTTATTAAAAATGTATTCTTTTTATAATTGTCAATATTTGCGTGATAAAATATTTTCAAATATTTACACACACGCACACACACACACACACGCACACATACATTATACCTGAATACGTGTCTCTATATAATTACAACATACGAGATTATAATAATGGGGATAAAAAATTCTATTAGAGAAAAAGGGAGATTATCTTTTTAATTTAATAACTTTTTTTTTTGTTTGATTATATATCTTTCTTCACATATATAATTAAACTGCATACGTAGCATTGGCTGAAGACTTATTGCCGCAAGAATTCTTCGTGACTAGGAATTGTATCAAGATCAATAAGTACGTGGTGATGCTACCTACTATCTACAAGCAAAATCACAAAGTAAACTATATGTACGTACGGTTAATTAAGATAAACGATCGATCGCTCACCGCAGTAAGAAGCGTCGCGTCTACACACAGACCCTTCGCAGAGAACGTATTTTCACGATGCAGTATTTGTAAGGAGAACAACTGCAACTGCAACGTCGGAATAATTAAATATACAGTTGGAAACACAATTGCATATATATATATATATATATATATATATCTGATAGTTCTATAAAAGAAATAGAGTTACTTTCTATACAGAGTTATAGAGCTATAGAGTTATTTTCTACTACCTCATCTTTGATTTGCTTATCGCTGGTGCTGATAAGCACATCGTGAATGGTAGTGCCGATCTCCAGGGCCTGATCCTTGCCGGTCTCGCAGGCCCACACTATAATCGTTATTTTTATAGAGTAATACGCGATGGACGTGATGAAGTACATATACCAGATCTGCTTCTCCAAATTGATAATGGAGATGCCCCCCTGCCATTGCACTATGTAAAAGTACAGGCTGAAAGTGATCTCGGCGAAAGTCATGACTATGGTGGCGAGCAATTGCAGGCTGAAAATCGCGTTCAGCAACTGCAGGGCGTCGCTGACTATCAGATGTCGCTTCTTCAGGGCTTTGAGCTCCATTAATAGAAACGGATTTCTCTGCTCGTGGTAGACTCGCCTGAGGAGATGCGGCTCGTCGCTCACCACGAGCTCTCGCAGGTTCACCAGATTGTCGTTGATCTGCTTGAAGCATGCTTTTAATACACAAACACAATTCATGTACAGCATATCCATCTGAAACACCAGCAGAGTGATGTACGTCGCTAGGATCTTGAGAGCGGCGTCGTTGAGCGACGGGGAGAAACAATTGGACGCTTGCCCGAGTAAGAAGAAAAAGCCAAAGATGTCCTTGGCGTGGATCAGCTTGGACAACTTCTGAAACGTTTCTGGGGGCAGCTTCGAGGAGATTTCCATCAATGTCTGGAGTAAATGCATCCGCGGTCTGGTCAAGATGAACGTAATAATCGCTATAAAACCACCGAGTATGTAGTAACAATTGCACTGAAGGGCTCCGGGTACGCCTTCGAACTTGATATAGCTGGAAATGTCGATCTGGTAGAGTATTATCAGTCCAGAAATGGTGAAGAAGCAGATAACGATGGTCGCCACGACGTAGCGTGGTTTGGAAATCTCGAAAACCGAAGTGTCCGTCTTGTACGGGAATAATCCGAGAAGACGGCAAAAAAGGAAGCAGGGTAACATCAAGGATTGAAAGTCCGTCGCGCGGAACGGCCGCCATTTTTTCCGCACTTTACCCTTGGCTCGTCCTTGTTTCAATGACGGAGTGAACATGATCAGCGGGTTGTCATAGGAGAACAATGACCTAGATCATAGACTACAGTTTGAGGAATTATCAGTCACATTATCAGTCGCATCGATCACAGTATCTGTGGCATTGGTGCGAAGGTGGCTGCTCTGAAGATGAGAGTCTCTTTTCCGAGTGCAGAGCCTTCGACTTTGTCTCTACACGACAAATGTCGGCATGAGTCTCCTCCTCCTCGTGGTCTAAGCTCGGCGAGTTTAAGTTTTAAACTGCGAGCAGGTGCCACGTTGAATCGCGAGACGGGATATCAGGCCCATTTGTTAGCCGTGAAGTAACCATGGCGTTCTTCGATCGGCACATATCACCCCCTGGGATGCAACGCATAAAGTAATGAGTAATAATTGTTGTGGCATATACAAACCATTCCATCGTCTTGCACATTTAATTCGCGCACGAAGCGAATCGAGTATACACATACATACGAAACAGGATGCGACCACGCGGTGTCCGTGTGTAGATCAGCAGCTCTCAAAGATCTATCAATAATTCGATGCTGCTCGATTTTTCCAATTATTCTATTCTGCATTCTATTCTGATACAGTATATTTTAATCACAAGATTTTCGATATCTTTACGTCATTATTTTATATAATATCTAATTTTTGTGCGATGATTGCGATATATATATTATATATATATATATACACACACACACACACACACACACATACACACTTATATACTTATTTATTATTTATTGTTTTTAATATACGTTATTTTTTCTACTTTTAAATAAAAAAAACACATTGTACTATGGATATTTTATTTTTCTAATTTTAATCTGCAGACGGTTGAGAATTTCTAAATCGTTTTCAGAGTGAGTTACTTAACATTGTCGTAAATCAAATACAACTTGAAATATAATGTTATACATAAAATTAGTGCGTGTTACACGTGTTTTGAGAAACACTGATATCGCCGTGAAAGGCATATGCGTAACAAATGTAATGTTGATAAACCGAGTTATGACGCAAGGACAATGCTATTATCTAGATTAGAATTAATCGTCATATTCCTTCGACTGATGAAATTATTAACAGATATGTCATGGTCTGTGGGCAACAAATTACAACAAGATGGCTGGTCTTTTGTATTTTAGCGATAACAAAGGGATGGGGGTGGCGACCGATGCGAACGTTATCATTATGATAATGCGTTGACCGCATTACGTCTCGACGAAACTTCATCAAATTATCGTTGACAAACGAAGCTCGAAATGCAAACATATTGCCAACAAGCTTAAATTGTTTTTAAGTTGTTTGAAAATTAAACATTAAGTGCACTTTCGATATGATTAAGTTTCCATTTTCGAAGAATGACGTGTGCGCGCTCGTGTAAAAACTATTAAAATAAATTAAAAATAAATTAATACCTTTTCAATTAGAATATTAAATAGGATTATAATCGATTAGACAGAACTATAATTGAAAAACAATACTAACATATATTGCAAATAATTTTATATATATATATCCTAAGTTTATCACGTGTTCTTTCACTCGTGAATTCTTTGATCAATTAAGAGTCGATTTTTCTCAATGAAAACGTTGCTGAGACGTTCAAATTGATCAAAGAATTTTTGAATAGATGAAAGAAAACTTCAGATCAAAAGTAATCATAAAACTATTACAGCATATTTATTTTATTCTTTAATTTGCTTTGTAATTCATTATCTTTTATATTATTTTTCTGCAAATTATATATATGCGTATCTTATTTTTATATTTTTCTGTTTTGCTTAGAATTCAGAAAATTACTTAAGATAAACAAAAAAGTTATTAAAGTGTTAAGTTATTAAAAATTAATATAAATATTTTATTGCAAGTATAATTATTTCATTCTTATTTAATACAAATGTAAAAAAGCGCAAATTTAAAAAAAATTATTATTCTTCAGGTTTCTTTTGCCCATATACTCGTATAATTCTTACGATAATTGAAATTCTTAAAAATATAAAGACATGATCATATTAAACACATTTATTTGAAAACACGCTCTATTAAGATCTGAAAGTTACTCAGCATAAATAAATATTCATTATATACTGTTATTCATTTATGTGTGAATATTTCCCGTACAATGAAAAATTTATACGAGAACTTTATAGAACTTTTGCGAAAATTTCGCTAAATTCTGCCTGGTTCGGCGCATTTATCGCATTGAACACGTTTTGAATATTTTTACGTTCGTGTACAACATTCCATAAAATAGTATATTTATTGTTTGATTTTATAATGTGACGATAACAATCATATTGCAATATATAACAAAAAAATATTTATGCTTACCCATAAAAATGTGACACTTATGTAATGCTTATGCAAAGCTATTAGTTCTTGAAAGTCTATCTAGAAAGAATGTTGTAATATGTATCTATTTAACTTTAAATTATTAGCCAACAGAATATTATTTGTAATAAAATTATTATTGCGAAATAAATATAAAATTGCGATACATTTTTCGAATTATAAACAAGAATATCTCTGAAGATAACTTTAAAATATTCTTCAAAAAAACATCTTTAGATGTGAAATTATTTAACTTAAACTAACGTAAAGAATTATTTTAAAAATGCTATTGAATTCTCACTGTTTTGTATAATTTTCAAATTTATTCCAACAAAATGTCAAAAGTTTTTATCAAAGCAAGCTAAGACGGAATGGAAAATATTTCTTTTCTTGATTAAAATGTTTCTTTTTTTCTAGATTTCTGAAAATTGCATACCCATCTTAAATTGCCTATAAAAATTGTAATTCAGATGGAAAGATCGAGGAATTTTTTTGAGAGATTCGTGCTTATTTTTTGCTAGAAACGCTCAAAAGTAACTAATTATGCAGATATTTCAAGATATTTCAATATTTCATCGTGTCATCAGAGTCGTATAGGTAAATAAAAAGATGATAAGAGATATCATACAAAGTCAGAAATAAAAAGATAAATCTTTGCTATGAGTTTGACAAATAATTTTTTACATCTAATTAATCACATCTAATTAATCACATCTGATTAATTTTAAACCTATTAAAAAATTTTGTAAACACTTTTAATTATTACTATAAATTCGACAACTCGAATCGTGCGCTGAAAGATGAATAGGCATTCAGTCTAAATGTTTGCAGAAATACATAAATAGGAAGTAGAAAATATTGATGAGAGAATCAACACCTGTCAGTTTTGACGAGGGCAGGAAAAAACATACTTGCGTATACACGTGCGTATACGCACGTGGTACACAGAAATATGTATATGTATACAAACTATATATATATATATGTATATATATATTATATATATAATATATATATAAAACTCATAATTCGCCACCAGATGTCTCTGACTGTGTTTGGCGGTATTTGGCGGTATCGTACTTCAAGCGAAAGATGAATAACAGCGGAAAATGGTTGGTGAAAAAAGTTGGTTTTTCCGCGTTCATACTTGGGTAGTACTTCCATTCTTCTTCTACGAGCTTTATTTGTTACATTCATCTGTGATACATGTTTGCATCCGTTCCACACGATATTGAGACTTAACCTATCGAGATGAACGACGGCATGGAAAAAGGAGTCATCTCCCACATATATTTGGAGAATTTTGTGTGAGTAAAGAATATATCAGTTTTTAGTATCATTTTTCATAACTGAATATTCATTTTTAAATACATTCATAACTGAATGTATTTAAATACATTTCATAACTGATGTATTTAGAATTAACCCTTCATAATTCATCCTAAATTTTACAACTTGGAGCACATGATTGCATGTATCTTTTAGTTTTTGAGCTCTAAAAAACTGAAAAAATTCTAATATGCTCTTTCAACATTTAAAAATGTAATTGTATACATGATCAAATTGAGGCGGAATCAATAAAATGTATTGTTGCAATAAAAAATTATAACTTTACGTGCATATAATTCTTGTAAAAAAAAATCCTTGTAGCTTCAAACAAGGTATAGTACTTATAAAAAAGATAATGTATTTGTTTCAAGAAAGTATTATTTGGTAATCTGAAAATCAGTAATTTTGGATTATAGAAAATAACAAAAAACGTAATCCATTTATTTTGATAAAAACAATTTTGCTACATCATTTGAGTTATGTCAGAATACGCTTGATTTTGATTATTGTATGGAATACAATTGTCGAAATACAGTATTTCTTGGCAGATAAATCCTTACTATCAATAACTTTTTTTTATCAATAACAGGACTTATGACAAAGTCACTGTGAAACCTGGAAGATATCTCAATGTCATCATTGGGCCAAATGGTTCTGGCAAGTCCACCATTGTTGCTGCTATAGTTCTCGGTCTAGGAGGTAAACCAAATATCATTGGTCGGGCACTTCATATTGGAGAATATGTAAAATATGGATGTGATTCAGCAAAAATTGAAATTCATCTAAAGAACAACACTAGGAAAGATTCCATAGTAACTAGAATTTTTACTAATGATGGAAAGTCCACATGGCTTATAAATGGTATTCAGTCAAGTTTAAAAGATGTACTACAATTTACAGCTAAACTAAATATTCAGGTATGTATTTAGTTTATATCTGTATTTTTCTCTTTTAAGCTTTCTCTTTTAAGCGAAATCAAATTAAATATATTATCAATTTATTAGATATTAATTGGTTTAGCCCAATCTTTTTAAATGTTATGTCCATTCTTTAATCACTATGGAAAAAGTTCCATCATTTTTTTAAGAGATATATAAAAGAATTATATTGGTAACACAATTTCTAATATAAAATATATCTAATAATTGTTACTTTTTGCAGGTTGACAATTTATGTCAATTTCTACCACAAGATAAAGTACAAGATTTTTCAAAAATGGATGCTCAAGCATTGTTAGAGAACACAGAAAGATCTGTTGGAGATCCAAAACTTTTCGAATATCACCAAAAATTGAAAGAACAAAGAGCTAATTTCAAGAAACTAGAAATTGATATAATTAATACGAAACGATTATTAGATTCAAAAATTCAAAGGCGTGATGGATTGCAACAGACTGTTATGACAATAAAAGAAAGAAAGTTGATAAAGAAAAAGATTGTAACTTTAAAACAAAAAAAAGCATGGATGCTATATGATCAAATACGTAGAAGATTACTAGAGGTACACATACAAGATTTATTTTATAAATTTATAATTTTTTTTATGTTTGCTTTTTTAATATCTTTGTATTGTTTTTATATAGTCAAAAAAACTAGAGATACGGCAATAAAAGAAATGCAATCAATAGACACAGAATTAAAACCATTAAATAAAAAGATTGAAAAAATGAAATCTGATATGACAATGTTAAAAAGTTCCTTAAATGATCATGTAAGTACAATATAAGAGAATTCAAAAAATTGATTTAGTATTGTTCTAATAAATTTCTAATATATTTTCAGAACAATAAAGTCTATACTAAGAATACAAAGTTGAAGAATATCATGAACGAGATTCTCAGTTGTGAAAATAAAATTAAAGAAGCTGAGAATACTTGTTCACACAAGATCCAAACCGAACAGAGTCGAGATGAGAATGTCAATCTTGCGCAACAGCAGAAGTGCAAACTCGAGAACGATTTTGCACTCATGATTAATGAAATTGGATCAGGTTTGTAATTTGTAATTTGATTATTCAACACGAATAGTAATGATATAATACGTATCAATTTATTATTGAATAATATAATACGTATCAATTTATTATTTTGTCTTATAAGCATACAACTGTAAATTATCTTATCTATAAATCTCGATAATACGTGGAATGATTAGAATCGATCCCGGAATTCTTGAATATGAATTGTTTTTATATAGAGCTACAATTGTCATTTCAAAATAATAAAGTATGTATTTCGTGTTTCAGAGGAAAACTTAACTGAACAATTGAGAAATATAGCAATTAATATGGAGGAGCATAAACAAAGAGTTCATAATCTCACAAACAAAAATGTTACATTAAAATATGAAGATGAAAACATTGACCGTGAAATGAGAGGTATGTTTATATAAAAATTTATTTTATATATATATATATATATATATATATATATATATTAATTTATTTATTT